TTCTGGTCAGAGCTGGGGGCCCCACAGCGAGTCCCTCCCTTCCCCCCCCTGCCCATCCGCACACTCTGCTGCCCACTTGGTCACTGTCTGGCTCCTCCCCCGTTCCCTGCTTGTAACACTTCTGCTACTCACTAACCCCTGGTAACACCCCCCACCCCTGACTATGTGGGGAGAACACAAGATGGGGCTGTGGGACACACTAACCTTGCTGCCCCCTGCCCCTCACGGCTGGCCTGAGCAGCCCTCCTGTCATCTGACACCCCCATTGGGCCAGCTGGATGGCATGTTAGCAGCGGCAGCAGGGGCTGCTCTGGGTCAGGGTGGGGAGCTGGGGCAGCATTCTGCCCTTACACTTGGGTGGTGGTGGTTGGGAGCTCTGGGTGGAGGCAGGTACAGGAGAAGGCCTGCTATGGGGGTGGGTGGGGGTGTGGTGAGGCTGGGGCTGAGGCAGACAAGGGGCAATATTCTGTCCTTGCGCTCAGGTGGTGGTGGTTGGAGGCTCTTGGGGGAGGCAGGTGGGGGGTGCTGCTGGTTCAAACTCAGTCTCTGCCCTTGGTCCTCATGTTGTGCCTTGTCTGTCACAGGCGCCTGATCTCACCTGGGACATTGATCCATCCATGTCTGTCCACGGGGCGCCTGGCAGCTGTAACTGCCTGGCTCTCACTCTGCCTACTTGTCTGTCCTAACGCCAACTAACCCCCACTCACCCCTAACTCACTGAGTCCAGGGGACAGGGAGATGGGTCAGGGAGGGGCAGGGCTGGCTCTGCTGTGTGTCTGTGTGTGTGAGTGCTCTCTTCCTGGGGAGGTGCCAGGGGAAGGCCTCCTCCCTACCAGGACCCTGCTGTCCTACCCAGGGGTCCTCAGCTGGCATCCAGAGCCAACAGCCGAAGCCCTTCCCCCAAAGGCCATGGAATGGGGCCTCTGCCCCACTCGCCCTTTGTCCGATGTTCTGGCCATGCTGGCTGGGTTTCTCCAAGGTTACAGGAGGGCACTCGGCCCAACCCCACTGCCTTTGGCCCTGCCATTGCAGCAGGGCACTCCTATCACCGATCCGGTCTGGTGCACCCTGCCAGCTCCCCACCAGGCTGCTGTGAGGGCACCTAGCTGCTGGATCCCCAGGGTCTGAGCCCTCAGCTTGGGCTCCTTTAGGCATACCCTTGGGGTGCACCCATCTATCTAGCCCCTTCTCCTGAGCGTACTGTGACTACATAGCTCCTCATCAGCCCCAAGCTCAATGTGACCCCTCAGATTCCCCAGTAACTTAAATGCCTTCTCCCAAGCCCCTCTGAAAAGGTGAGCTGCTGCGTCCCCTCTTCCAGGGCCCTGGGCTAGGTGTACCATTGAGCATAGGTCCTCTGCACAGCTGTGTGACACGAGTGCGCTTTACCTAAGAAGGAGAAACACCCTGAGGGTACAGATCCTATAGAAAACACCACCCTCCTGAGCACAGGGCCACTCACTTGCTCCCCCGTCCCAGGCAGTCCATGGGGGTTCCTTCTCTGAATCTGGCTCCCTCAGCAGCTCCTGATTTTTCACATTTGCTCTCTGGTCACCCTGCTGGGCCTGACTCCTCGCGCCATCGGCCTGGGCTGGGGCAGGCAGGATGCTGGCTGGGCTGGGGAGGCTGGTGACATGGGGGGACAGCAGGCCCAAGCTGCAGTTGGACAGGCCTGACAATGGGCAGCCGTCAGGGCAAAGGGGTGAGATGAGGGCGCAGGGGGCAGCAGCCCAGTCAGAGGGAGCATGCGCTGGGTGGGATGGACAGTGGAGGATGCCCTAGCCTGGGATGGACCCGGAGGGAGTACGAGGGGTGATCAGCACTGAGACAGGCAGGATGTTGGAGGTTTTAAAGGGAGGCCAGAATGGGGCTCGTCCTGGAGACCAGGGAGCCATGGGAGGGGGGGAGAAATTGGCCCCGACTCTGCCCCCTCTTTCAGCCCAGCCTTTCTGGTTCAGCAAGGTGCCAGGAACCAAAAGCAAGGTGCCATGTGTGACCCAGGCTCTCATTCTCCCCGAGCCTGGCAGCTGCTGCTCATGTAAATCACAGGAGGAGCGGGAAGGGCAGAGCGCCACCCCAGGGCCTGGCCCAGCTTTGCCGGAGGGGAGGAGAAATATTGACCCAGACCCAGCCAAGAAGTACCTGCCGTCTAAACCTCTCTGTATGCCCTGGGCCCCCACCATTTGGCATCGAGAGTTTCCTGGGTCATACCAGAAGGGGCCCCATGTGTTAGGTGCTGAATGAACCAATGCACATAGAGATGAGCCCTGGCCCGAGGGCACTGGGACACTTCAGGGTTAAGCGAGGTGTCTGGAGTGACTTCCGACAACCTGCTCACAGCAGGAGGGAGCCTTGTCTGTGCCCAGCAGGGAAACTCTCCCCAGTGAGTGGCTGCTGGCACCACAAATCTCCTCTGCTCCAAGTCACAAAGTGAGAAATCACTGTAATATTTTATGATTCCTAGGCATGCCTCAGTTTCCCTCACTACTTTGCATTGCTCTCCAGTGGATGCAGAAGGGTTAAATCTGCTCTTGGGGCGGAGCAGAAGCCATGGGGTGATGGGTCATGTAGCTGTCTGGGGGGAATGAACGCAGTGTTAAAGGACTGGCTGAAACTGACCCGTATCAATGAAGGATTCAGAAAGACAGTGGGACCTCAATGGCCAAGACGGTTATACCCAGCAACCAAGAGAAAGGACCTTCCTCCCACTCTGCCACCTCTCCGCAGGAAGCCGAGCCCAGCCCAGCTCGAGGACAGTGGCCTGAGAGGTGTCAGGGTACAGGAC